TCTGCTGCAGGCCGGGGAAAGAGCAGGGATCCTCTGCCAGAGGCCACCCACCCGGGGCCCCAAAATGCCAGCCTGTCATACTGCCTCCTCAGCGACCCCTCCTCTGCCAGCTCCCACCAAACCCTGCATTTCAACCTCTCCTGGGGCTTCCCTGGCGGTCCAGCGGTTAAGCCTCTGTGCTCCCAATGCAGGGGGCACGGGGTTGGGGAACTAAGATCCCACATGCCACACGTGTGGCCAAAAACAAACAAAAAACAAACAACCTCTCTTCCTCCAAAGACACTTTTGTTTCAGCATCTGAATACGCCAGGCTTCAGTCACCTGTGGACAAATGTTCTCTAGACCCCATTCCGCTGGCTTCTGGCTTATACTGTCTCTGCTCCGTCATGAGCTGTGTGATATGACACAAGCCGCCCTCTCTCTATGCCTGTCCTCTCGTGGGAGCATGGGCAAGGTGACAACATGCCCCTCACGGGGGCCTGTGAGGTGCTGAGCGCAGGGCCTGGAGCCCAGCAGCAACTGCTGGCCACAGCAGCCGTCACCATCCCCCACATGCTGCCCCGGCTGGCTGACACCCGTGCCCTGGCAAGCCCTGCTTCCCCCTCCCAGAACGCCCTTTCCTACTCTGGCTGTATGAAGAGCTGGGCATGGTGTGGGCACACAGTGAGGGCTCAGCAAGTGTTCGCCACTATTATTACATTATTGTCACCATCACTGCCTGCCTCCTCTCCCAGGCAGCCTTCTCTGGTTTCCCCTAGAAGTAGCCACCCAACCACAGCTATGCCCACCTTGGCTCTAGCACTTCTCCCCTGCCTTGTGATCTCTACTTCTCCTCACCAGCCTGAGAGCTCAGCGGGCAGGGTCAGGCTGTTCCCTCATGCAGGTGGATGTAGCTGAGGACAAGTCTCAGCACGCTGGCACCCCACTTCCCAGCCTTTCTGTGAGTGGGAAGGTGGCATCACTCCTCTCCCCGTGTAGCCCCCACAGGTCCACAACTGGCCCAGGAAGGAGAGAAACTGCTGGACCTGCCCGTGGCTGCTGGGCACTCCTCTTTCTGGACTTTCATCCTCTGCTCCCATGGAGTCTGCCCTCAGGGAAGGAGCTGATGTCAGCCATTCACACTCTAGTCTAAATTTGGCCCTGATGACTTTCCTGGAAAGTCTGGCAGTAGAAACCTCCTCTTGTCCAAAACCCATCTCACCCCTTATCTCCAGTCTGTTCCTCCCCACCTCTGTGGGGCTCCCATCTCTGTTGGTGGGGCCTCCAGCCTCCTAAGTTCCCTCTTTAGCACCCTGAGCCAAGGAGTTTAACCAGCCTGCCAATTCTGCCATCAGACCATTAATAAATCCACCATTTAAGGGGTACCTTACCTGGGCCAGGCCCCAGGCTATGTGCTGGGGACACGGAGCTGCCTCAAAACCAGGCCATGCCCTCTCAGAGCTCCTGTCTGGTGGGAGACAGACAGGTAAACAAGAGGCTATAATACAAGGCATGTGGAGTCCTGATGGAGGAAGCAGAGGATGCTGTGGGCACCTGGAGCAAGCAACCAACCCGCCTCAGGGGCAGGCAGGAGACAAGGAGAGAGCTGGCAGAGCCAAGGAGCAGCCTGATGCCAGGCACCTGCCACCCCATGTCCATGAGCCCAAGGCCTCGCCGGCCATAGCCTGTCCTGCAGGCTGGGGCTCCCCCTGTGTGAGAAGCGCTGGGCCTTAGCAGGCGTGATGTGAACCTTGAGGCTGGGGCCTTCCCAGCCTTCTGGCCCTGCCCAGGGCAGGGTACAAGGTCAAGTTTCCCACTGACTCATGCCCAGAGCTCAGGTCCCAGCTCTCATGTAACCTGAAGGCAAAAATAGAACTGGGCTCTGGCCCCACCTCAGGGCCCTGGAGGATGGGTACAGGGACTCTGGGTCCTGGCTCCGATGACTGTAAGGCAGGGCTGAGCTCTGACTTCAACCTTCTCTGGCTGCAGGCTGCCCTAACCCCAGCCCAGGGCCCTTGGAGCAGCCCCTTCTCTCTCCCAGGCCTGGGTCACAGGATCTCAGAGCTGAAAGGGAGGGAGACCAAGAAAGCCCTGGGACTATCAACTCTGACCTCCTCCACCAAACAGATGGGGAGACTGAGGCCCAGACAAGATCCAGATCTCCCCTTCTGCCCAAGGTTGCCCAGGAAGCACGAGCCCAGGTGTGGCTGGAACCCAGGCCTCCCCAACCTGAGTGGGCACCCTTGGGTTGAGGCAGAGAAATGGTGGAGGCTGTGACTCAAAGGACCCTCAGTAGGACAGGCAGGAAGGTGGTCTCCACCCTCAGGCAGAGTGATTTAGCAGGGTTTAGGCCTGGAGCCTCCACCTTACCCTCTGTCCAGAGCCCCCAACCCCCTTTCATCAGAGCTGAGGTACAGAGTCACATGGACTAGGATTCCAGTCCTTAGGAGCTGTGTGACTGTGGGCAAATCATGAACCTCTCTGGGTCTCAGTTCCAGCATCTTGTAAAATGGGGATGAAGGTGGTGGTTGCCATGAAGACTCAAGGTCAACACCTAGCATGGGACCAGTTACACTGCAGCTCCCAGTAAACACCAGCCCTTCCCAGACTTAGCAAAAGCCCTCGACTTCCAAATCCCAGCTCATGGCCTTGCCCTCTTTCTCCTTCCCTAGTCTCCACTATCAGGCCTCCCTCAGGTCCACAGCCTTATGCCACATCACTTGGACGGCATGAAGTCTGCCTGCCTGGGTTCAAATCTTGCCTCTGCTGCTCACATGGCCCAGGGCAAGCCCCTCTACCTGTCAAATGGGGACAGTACAGTGACTTCCTCAATCAGGTATGGAGATCCAGGCTTGACAAAACATGGACCACAGATCTATGGCAGCCAACTGGACGGAACACTGGTTAGGCCTCTAGAGCCTAAATCTGGGGCCTGGAACTCACTGAGCGGTTGGCCCTTTCTGAGCCTCAGTTCCTGACGCTTCCCAAGCCATGCGCCTCAGTTTCTTTATCTGTAAAACTGGATAATGGCCATAGCCCCTCACAGGGCCACCCAGGCCACACTCCCACCCCAATGCCCAACTCCTCAACCAGTGCCCTGGGTACTCACTCTGCTGAACGGACTTGAGCCCACGGAGGCAGGTGGCCGCCAGCAGGAAACCACAGCCAGCTGGGGGTGTCCGGAGCTCTCCGGCCAGGCTGCAGGCGGCCCCCAGGCAGAGTGGGCCCATGGCGGCGAACTGCAGTGGGTGGTGGCGGCGGCCGAGCAGCAGCGCAGACAGGGCCAGCGTGATCAGTGGTGTGGTGGTGGTGGCCAGCTGCGCCAGGTCCAGGGGCACAGCGCTCAGGCCCACGTTGCCGCAGGCCATCGAGGCACCCAAGGTGAGGCTGAGCAGCAGCACTTGGCGGCGGGTGCGGCCGGGCATGGGGCGCCGTGCCCCCGGGTGGCATGCCAGCGCAGCTGCCAGCATGTGCAGCGCCGAGAGCAGCAGGGGCCGCCCGAAGCCGTGCACTGTGAAAATCCACTTGTTGAGGCTCGACATGCTGGCTCCCGCCAGTAGCCACACCAGCGCTGCCACGGCCACCCAGGCCCGGCCAGGCCGCCGTAGCGCCTGCGGGGTGTCAGGGGGCCACTGGGGGAACCCGGCCCACCGAGCACCGCCAGCCACCGCCACTGCCTCAGCTGAGGTCATCCTGCCGTCATGGCGCTCCCGCGGGCAGCGGCACATCCGTACCAGTGGGGCCGGGGCAGGAGGCCGGCTCCCCAGCGACCAGCTCTGGGCCACCAGAGAGCCCCACTGTAGATCCCGCTCGGTCTCAGGTGAGGACACTGCTTCTTGTGCCCGGCCTGCGGCAGCCGAGGTCCAAGAGCTATGCTGTGTCCCCGGCTCAGGCAGGGCAGAGTCTAGGTCGCTTCTGCTGGGATGCCAGGCTCCCTGGCGCTCAAGCCTGGCCTAGTAACCGCCGGGCACCTCTGCCCCGTGCCAGGCGAAGTCTCCACTCTTCTCCCCTCCCAGTGCCCACGCTATGCTTACATGGAATCCTCCATCCCTTTTCTCTTCAGTCCAAACCCCAGGTCCTCCAGCGTGCTCAGGCCAGGCCTGCAAGGGCGATCCGGGCTCCCGCGCCCGGTGGTGCCGGTGGTCCCAGTGGTCGGGCTCGCTACCTCCGACAGTGCCCAGACCCTGCGACGGGCTGACGCGCCGGCCTGCGCTGCGGCCGGTGTTAGGCGGCGAGCTCGACTCAGCTCGGCTCCGGCAGGGCCTCCGCGCCAGCTCCAGCTCCCAGCGGCTCAGGCTGCAGCGGGGTCTCTCGCCAGGTTCGGGCGGAGAGCGAGGCTCCGTGCTCTAGGCCCCGCCTCCGCGGCCGCCCCTCCAGCCTCACCCGGAAAATTGGGCTGAACCCCAGGCGCCACCTCCGGCCAGGCTCCGCCCCCGAAGCCGAGAGGGATGTCTCGCCCCTCCCCCACGCCGCCCGCTCGCAGCTCCTCCTCCATCAGCCTAGCTTTACCTCCGTCAGCAGACCTCCTCCCAGCTGGAGTGGTCAGTCTGTCCCCCCTCCCCACACCGGTGGGGGATCAGGCCCCTCCCCACGCAGCGCCAAGGCAGGCCCCCCATCGAGATGAACACAGGGCGGGAGAACCTGGGGTATCTTTCTGAGGGAGCCTAATAAAAAGCCCTAGCCTCTCAGGAGTTTTCATTTTCAAGGACACCCTCCCCCCAGGAGACCTCATCCTAGGACCAGTCTCGGATCCACCCAATCTCTGGCCACAGTTATCCCGTGGGGCCTCAGCATCCGGAAGAGTTGGACCACGGGGCCCCTTAATACCCCTCCCTCGCCCCTCCCTAACCCGAACACCTCCTCCCTCTCCTAGCCCAGGGCGGGCCCCCTCTAGGCAGGCAGAGGGAAGCTGAATCACCAAGGCCACCCACAGCTGCGGAAGCAGGGTCCCGCCGGCCAGCATCTATCCCTGGCCAGCAGCCCCTGTCCCATCCCCTGGGCACTCAGAGCTGACTCACAGCTGAAATTCCTGGGGTCCACCCTCTGCCCCCATCCCTGACAGGACAAAGAGCCCTAGGTGGGCTGGGAGCCAGAGCAGCTGCCACTAAGCCTTTGCCCCTGCATCAGTGTTGGGTAAACAGCACACCCCAGAGCAGGACAGGCTGATAGGGATTCCAGGCTGGGCCCTGGCCTCTCTGAGCTCAGGAGTCCAAGTGTGCAAGAATCACTGCTCACTGTGAGCCCTTTCCTGACGTCCAGCTTCCTTCTCTGTGGAAGCTCCTTCCCACTGGGACACGGTTCACCCCTAGCCTGTCGTCTGACCTGCAAGTCCTTGATGGAGGAACCAGCAACCTGTCTGGAGGAACAAGACCGCAAAGGGAGACCGCTCACCTCGGTCCACGGCGCCCTCTGGTGGTCAGAACACAGAATGGCTGCAAGTGTCCCGTAATCCCCATCACAATCCTTGGACCGGGATTAAAATTCCCCAGCCTCACTACTGTTTCAGACCTGCTAAATTCAGATACCCTCTGGTGGGCCCAGGGATGTGAATGTTTTTCATTTGTCTCTGGTGATTCTGACACCTGCATGAGCCTGCAAATCACTGCTGAATAGTCCAAACTGTAGGGCAGGAGATTTCCAGGTGAAAGACCAAAATATGCAGGTATTTAGATGGGGTTTTTCCAGGAGTAGTTGTGGGAGGGAAACGGAGCCAGCCAAGGGGGAAGCCCCGCTAGCCCCACATTTCCTGAAGAGGAGGAATCGGGGCCCCTAAGGGTTAGATTCTTTCTGAGATTTTGTCAGTTTTCCAGTTAAGCTTCCTTTAATTAAAAAAACAGCAATGAATTAAAAAACAGTAAACACCCCCCCCAATCTTCTAAGAGCTGAGCTACTGCGGAGTGGTAGGCAGTGTCTACACCTCCTCCAAGACTGCCAAAAAGCACTCCCTCCTGCCCGGCCTGGTGAGGGGTGAGCTATGAGGAATGAGGATTAACCAAGATGAGGCCTGTGTTGGCCTTGGTGGGAGGGAGAGAGCTGTACACCCTTGCGGGGGAGGAGGGGCGAGGGGGAGGAGGCTGAGGGCAGAGCCCAAAGCAGGGATCGTGCAGCTTGAGTGGTGGTGGGGGGTTCAGACCACGTCTACCTGGCTCCCAAGCCCCAGTTTTTAACCTGCCTTGACCTGCAGGCAGCAAGACTCTCCACAGGATGTTCTCTTGTGGGAGAATGGTGGGGGTGGGCACCCAGCTTCACAGAGGGCAGGGCAGCAGGGGCTCCTTCACACCCGTTGGGGTCCACCTGAACGCCCAGAGCAGCCCCGAGCAGCCTGCCCCTGCCCACAGGCTCTCATATCCCTCTGGTCTGAGTGCTGCCCTTCACCTGCCGCCCCCCACTGCTGCTGCGGGAAGCAGGTGATTCAGGGCGGGACCCTGGGAGGCACCAGGAGGGAAGAAGAACCCATTTCCAGCAACTGAGCTGCAGAGGCTTGGGATGGGTCTCTTCTCTTGTCGCTGCATGTCTCTAGACTAGTCACTTCACTGCGGGGCCTCAGTCTCCCCATCTGTGATCTACGATGAGCTCACAGGCATGAATGTAAACCAAGGCGCCACCCCACAGTTGTGAGTTAGGAACAGGCTGCACGAGGGGATGCGGCTTGTCTGGAGTCACACAGCAGGCCAGACGCAAACCTGGGCCCCCATTCCAGAGCGGCCACTGCTTGTCAAACTCTTACTGTGGACATGGCTGTCCTCCCACCCATGCCCTTTCTAGGGGTCCCTGCTGATGGAGCCAGACTAGACACATGACCCAGGGCCCAGAAGTGGGCTGTGCTGGTCAGACCCCTCTCCAGGCTTTGGGACACAGGCTAAGAAGATAAGAGGGCCTGGGGAATTAAACTGGAAGTCAGCAGAGTCACTGCTGGGGCCACGTTCAGAGGAAGCTGATGGAGGGGGAGGACACGGAGAGGAGAGAGCCTGAGGGTAGTGGAGGGATGGAGCCCTGAGCCCCAACTTCCATTTCCCTACTGCCCTTAAATTGGTGGGCTGAGTCTTTTCAGCAAATATCCTTTTTTATTTTTATTTTTTTGCCACCCCGAGCAGCATGTGGGATCTTAGTTCCCTGACCAGGGATCAAACCCACGCCCCCTGCAGTGGAAGCATGGAGTCCTAACCACTGTACCACCAGGGAAGTCCATCAGCAAATATCCTTTGATTTGAGCAGGATTCAGTAGTTCCCTGTTGCTCAGAGCCAAACACACCCCGACTAAGACAGTTCCTTCAGAGGGAGGCTCACATCCAGACCATGGACACTGAAAGCCCAGTGCAGGGGTGCTCCCTTCAGTTAAGTCCACCCTCGCCCTAGCCTGGCCTGGGACCTGCCACAGCTGGCCTCCCCTATATGGGAGGGCCCTGGCTTCCTCGGGAGGTGGGGAGGCAGCAAGGCGGTGCAGGGGAAAGGGCTGGGGTCAATGGGTAGGGACCTTGGCTCTGACACCCACAGGCTGTGTGACCTGAGGGAAGCCGCAGGTCTCTCTGAGCCTCCACCCTTCTGTGAGGAGAGGGTCCCAGGGCAGGTCCTGAATCCTCTCTAAAGTGCCCTTGGCCAAGATTAAGAAAGGACAGGTGAACAAGCACTCTGGGGATCTGGGCACAGACATTTCACCTTCAAAACGGAGGCGGCGGGCTTCCCTGGTGGTGCACTGGTTGAGAGTCCGCCTGCCGATGCAGGGGACACGGG